TCATGGAAATCTTCTAGATGATGGTAGGACAACTGAACCAATCAAATAGTGGAGGAATGATATCTAGCATTTTCAAAAAGAATTGAAAAAAGCATCCAGTGAAGTAATAGGAAGCAGAAAGGAGCCTACACAGTTTTTAAAATTGTAACATCAAAATAAAACACAAACACCAAAATAGTCCCTAAACTGAATCTAAACCAAACTAGTATTCCTTTTGTTCTAAGACCCGTGGCTTGTAGATTTGACTCAGAAGAGGACCTTGGCATCCCATTATCTCAGTTCACCTTTCTCCCTGAGGATATTAGCACTGGAATGTGGCAATGGATTTCAGCCGAGCCACAACATCTGCTGTGTGGGGGATTTGCCTAATGCAGGATTGCCACATGATGTGCAGCTTTTATAGGTCTCAACTCAGAGCATCGCTTGGTGCCTGCTTTGTGCACTCCCCAGGCAGCCCCGAGCACTTCAGATAGGCAGTCTCTAAGGAGATTTCTTTAAGATTTGCAATCTGTTGAAGTGGAAAAGTTTTCTAGTTGATTAAAAACAAATTCTAAATCCCGTATCCACAACTGTTTGTGTAATGGATGAGGTAACCGTAGAAAAATGCAATAAACAAGACCAAAATAGTCTTTGCTCCATTGTGAACATGGACCTCTGGGAATCTTGTTGGATTTTGGTCCTTCACTTCCTGGTCTGCAAACAGGAACTCACCTAGGTGATCTCACACTGACTTAAATGTGTGTGCATGTGTGTATTCTTTAATTAAAATTTTATTCTTCAGTTCCAAAATTTGTTTGGTTCTTTTTTATGTTGTCTGTGTCTTTGTTGAACTTATTTTGTTCTTATGTTGTTTTCCTGATGTCATTAAATTCTTTAGCTGTGTTCGCTTGTGAATTCTTTGTCAGGTCATTCATGCATCTCCATTTCTTGAGGGTCAGTTAATGGAGGTTTCCTGTGTTCCTTTGGTGATGTCATTTCCCTGGTTCTTCACGATGCTCATAGCTTTGCGTAGGTGTCCAGTTACCTCTTCTAGACTTTATGGCCTGACTTCAGTAAGGGAAGGTTACTTTGGTCAGGTGTCCTCACTGGTGGGTCGAGGCATGCTGGGGCGCCCCGTGACCCTGGGTCCAGTGGGGCTTGTGGTGCCTCTGGGTCCAGGGAGGTGTGGCTGCTGGGGTCCCCAACCTTGGCAACCGGGTAGTCCTTGGTGAGCATGTTGGGGGTATCTGCAAGGGCTGTTCGGGTCCTTAGAGACCAGGGTAGGCAGTGGTGACAGCCAGAGCTGGTGGTGTGCACGCAGGAGCTGCAGGGGTCAGCTGCAGGGGCCTGGGTCGCGACAGGGGCCAGGTGCAGACACATGTGTCGTGGCAAGAACCAGGCCCTGCTGCTGGCGCTCTAGCAGGTATGGGCCCCTGACTGTCCTCGTGCGCTCCCGTGGCTGCAGGGTCTCGCCACGCGCTGTGCACAGCGGTGGAGGCTGGTGACAAGAGTTGGGCCAGCAGGACACAGGTGCACCCCCTGGAGGGGCCAGCTGCAGGTGAGCCCAGGGATGCAGGCAAGTGACAGGAGTTAGGGCCGGATCCGGGCTGACAAGGGGCTGTGGAGGCCCCGGTTGTTGGCGTGCACTCCTGCAGCTTAATTAAAAATTAGGAACCAGCACAATATCCAACAGCCATTGCTGACACCACAACTAAATTTGTCCTGCTCTACTGCTCCTTTCTTTCTTTTTTTTTTAAATTTATTTATTTATTTATTCATGAAAGTCAGAGAGAGAGAGAGAGGCAGAGGCAGAGGGAGAGAAGCAGGCTCTCCGCCTAGCAGGGAGCCCGATGTGGGACTCGATCCCAGGACCCTGGGATCATGACCTGAGCCGAAGGCAGACGCTTAACCGTCTGAGCCACCCAGGCGCCCCCTCTACTGCTCCTTTCTTTACCTATTCTCTGCACTCACAGAAGCTGCTTATCGCCACATGCACAAGGACCTGTCATACCTGTAAAAGGTAGCAGGTTCCCTGGGCAGTTCTCTAGCTCCCCCTCTGTATGTTCAGAGGGCCAGGAATACCACCACCTCCTGCAAACCACAGAGGGACCCATTCTTAGGCAAGGAGAGGGGGGCCCTTGGGGCTTCTCGAATTACAGGCATCACAGAAGTTGCCTCTCTTGCTTATCACTGGCTGATTGATGAATTAGCTCACATCCTCTGGATGAAGAAATGGCAACACATTTCTAATAATTATATTAATATCACATAATTTCACAAATCTGTTTGCTTCCCACATCCACAGGGTTAATGTTTAAAAGTTTGAAGAGTATTACAATTGATTTGTTTCACAGCTGATCGGATTTCTTCATTCCAGCTACATATAATAAAGAAAATATTTGCTAACATTTGGGTGCTGACGGAGTACCAGCACCAACAGAAGCTTTTTGCCACAATCCTATGAGGTAGGCACTAATAACAGACACCTTTTACAGATGAGAAAACTGAGGCCCAAGAGAGCTTAAGTAACTTGCCGAAGTTAACACATTTAAGAAGTGGTGGGTCCTCCTGCCAGACAAACTCCCACAGGATCCACATAGCCCAGGAGGACCACTTGGCCTTGGCCTTGCATGGAAGGCCTTAAATTTAGATATTTGAAACTCTCTCTACACAAGGGTACACAGGTAGTCATAGAAATGCACCAGGAAACTGAAAGAAGTCTGTTATACAACTTGGCCCACACTGTCCTTAGTAACATATATATATATTATAATAATATGGTAATATAATATATACACATGTATATACATATATACACACTTACGTTATATTTATATAATATGCAGTTATGGTAGATTTCATTTTTGTATACTTCAAAAAGTCATTAGTTACGTAAACATAAATATTTTAAATATGCCACAGGTTCCAAACCCCATTTTGCTACTTCCTCACTTTGTAATGTATAGAAGCCTGGCCATGTCTTGACATTGGCGAGGTCCCAGTGCATGGAACCATAGCATTAGGAGAGAAACTTAGAGACGATCTTGTCCAACTTCTTCATCTCCTACGTGAGGAAATGGAGACACAGAGATGTGGAGTAACTTCCCCAAGCTCACACAGCTGGAATGCCCTTCTCCTGACAGATCACCCACCGCCATTGCTACCTGGCTTCTGCTTCCAAGGAAGCGAGCAGAGAAGCTACACATGTGGCCACAAGTAACATCCTGGAGGCCACGAAACATTTATTTTGAGACCAGTGACTCCTTCCAGTGTAATCTGGTTTTGAATATGGGATGGGGGCGGGGGGAAGATTACTTGTCTATAGAACTTTCCAAGTTTCAAAACCCTATTGGAGCTGAGAATCCATATTGAAGCTCATGACCACCGTGGGAGGGATGTGGGCAGGCATTGCGGTTTCTCCTTTGCAGATGGGGAAGCGAAAGTCGGGAAAGGTTGCTCACCTTTCCCCAGGTGACTCAGCCAGGTAGTGGCAGAACTGTTACCCTTACAGGACTCCAGGCTTGCAACACCGCGCTAACCCTACTACTTTCCCGCGTCCCGGTACGTCTGACAGGAATTACAGACAAGAACAGCACAAGCATTTCTGTCTTCCCGATGCTATTCATAAACCATTTTAAACCCAGTGTGTTTTTTTCTGAAAGAAACTCTTCTTCCTGTAATCAGTAACTTGGCAAAAGAGATCCCTAGATCTTCTAAATGATATTCCTAGAGTGAACGCTATTTCAGGATGGATACTAAGCATTTCCAATGTTCTTTAGGTGTTTCCTTTCCGTGGTGAGGTGTAAGATATATTCAAATCAAGCTTAGTCTGGGAAACCAGCACATTGCAATTAAAAATGCAGCCCTTTAGTCTCGCAATTCTCTGTCTAAAGCCCTTTTACAAAAGAGGGTATTTTAATTCAATAAATAACAGACAGACACGTCCAACTTTCCTACCGAAGGAGGCGTAGTCACCCCTTGCAGCTAACGTACATAACAGAGAAAATACACAAACAAATAGCGTTTGATCTTGCTTTGCTGCAGGGTGTTTTCATCTTTCAAGAGATGGAGGGAAAAACAACCTCAGAACTTTACCACCAAAGCTTCCAAATTTATTGCAACGCAACGTAATGGCAAAATGCTATTTTCTTAACGCTCACATTTTTGAATAACCACCACAGCCAAGAATGCCTGGTTTTATTTTTACAATAAACCCAAAGAAAATCTGGAATTCCACTCTCGATCTGGGGATGGCAAAGATGCCTGGGTTTTTTGGAGGAAAGGATCGAGTCTAACTATTCAATCTTATCCTCTCTGTTTAACCTGTGCTTGAGTCATTTATCCCATGTTTATACTAGTTTGACACAAATCATACTTAAAAGAGATTTGTACCCTGTTTCCCTGGGCAAATTTGAGCTACAATAGTAGACTTGACAATACCAGCCTTTTCTCGGGCTTATCAGTTAAAGAAGCTTTCAGCCTAAGAAAACACTTCCAGTAGAAACAAGATACAGAATTGTACAACTAGCCACATTCCACTGAGATCTGTCTGAGTAGAGAGAAGTTTAGATCCACACTAAATCATTTCTCTTCACTTAGCATCAATGTGTCCTTTTCTCATACTGCTTTTCATACATTGTTGGAAGCAATTTGTTACATTGCTATCATATTCCATAGAGGAAGCAAGGTATAAAAAAGGGTAGCATAATAAAGAGACTTATGTCATACTTTCCAACTTGTCTTAACCATAATAACATTGGTTTAAAAATACAGTCAAAAATCTTGTTCTAATCTTATCTCAGCACAATTCATTTATAGTGGATCTACATAATATTAGTTGTTTACAAAGATGTCAACTCCCCCCACCCCCTCCCAATTCTCCTGAGACTAAAGTTTGTACAGACTGATTACTTGCTCAAGGTATGTATTGTAGTTTCTTAATGATAAATACATTTTAAGGTTTTTATAATAAGAAATGGAAAGCAAACTATCTACATAGCTTAGTAATTCATCAGACATACCTTGTTTGAAGAGAGCAATTTTTTTTTCAAAAATTTTCCACCACACAGAATGAATATCCTTTTTTCCTTAAGCTTTTCTGCATCACAAATCCCATCCAAATTATTCTAAAGAAGAAACAAGAAGAGGTCCAAGCAACTTTTCTCTTTTCTCAGAGGAGCTAATCAAACATTCCCATCAACCTCTCAGCACTTTGAAAAGCACATTTTAGCCACACACACACACATGCACATGCTCACACACACACACACACAGCTTCTCACACTGGTTTTAGTGCTGAATTAGGCGGTCCTCTTTCAAATTTCCACTCCCACTTGCTTTTCTTTGGGGTAAGGATTTCTAAATATTCTTTTCTAGCCTAAAGCACACATTTTCAGTAAGCGAATTCTATAATTAGAAAATCTAAAAAGTGGAAGAGAAGTGCCTCAGTAAAATGGGAAATAAAACGTATACTTTAAAAAGGACTTAACACGGGGCAATTAAATTTTCTCTTTCTTTTTCAAATGCCAGTAAACAGCTGATTAAACTGCATAAGGAAAGAACACTGAACACTGTGCCAATACCACCAAGCTGGTTCTGCTGGGCTCTCACTCTTAGAGTTGAAAACACTTACTTTTCCTACATAGTAATGCTATTTTTGTTGTTGTTGTTGTTGTTTAGCTCACTTCAGTCCTTTCTGCGTTTTGGCAAGCTTAATGAAATGACTGTAGTCCATGCTGCTAGTAACAGGACACAAGATAATAATAGTGGGAAGCAAAACCTGCTCATGTTTTAAAAAACTGATGGTGGCGAGCTCACATCATAAGTGAAATCTGCCAATTTTCTTATTATTGGTGTCATCAGTTAAAGTGAAGGGATTCAGACTCAAAACATGCACGCATGTTAGCAAATGAAGAGATGTTCAAAGAGAAACGCAAATTAAAAGCAACGATGTGTGTACGGTGATGAAAACTTTTGGAAATACAGTAGTCACCCCTCATCTGTGGGGGCCATATTCCAAGATCCCTAGCGGATGCCTGAAATGGACGATAGTACCGAATCTTACACATACTATGTTTTTTCCTATATGTACATGTACATACCTATGATAAATTTTGATTTAGAAATTAAGCACAGTAAGAGACTAACATTAGCATATCACACCATTTAAAAAAAGACATACATGAAAGCGTACATCTGGCACTCCTTGAGATTCAGATGGGTATCAGTGTGACCCAGCATCTCCTCTCCAGCAAGCGGGGAGGTCACACAGAGCCATTTCTCCTCCTGCTGGGGAATGTGCACTCCGGCAGCCCCAGAGGAGAGCGCTCCCTCCCAGCAGCCCTATCTGTGGGCACTGAGATTGCTCCTTATTTAAGATTAACATTGGAATGCTATCTAACTTTTTCCCCTCCATCTGGTTCTGCATTTAAATTATTTCATAGTTCTGGGGCACCTGGGTGGCTCAGTTGGTTAAGCGTCTGCCTTCAGCTCAGGTCATGATCCCAGGGTCCTGGGATCGAGTCCCACATCGGGCTCCCGGCTCGGCGGGGAGCCTGCTTCTCCCTCTGACCCTCTCGCCTCTCATGCTGTTTCTCTCCCGCTCACTCTCTAATAAATAAATAAATAAATAAATAAAATCTTTAAATTATCCATAGTTCTGTTTCTTCCTCCACAAAACCCTGAACCTAAGACCATGGGTAGGAAGGATGGTGCTGCCCACATGGAGGACGTCTTGTTCCACCATCAGGGGGTCAGGGAAGGTTCAGATGAAATAGCAGCCCAAACCAAATTAATAATAATAATAATAATAATAATAATTGCCATTTATCGAATACTTACTTTTGCTAGGAATGGTGATAGCCCTCTACATATATCACCTCATTTAATACTTAGAAGAACCTGAAGAGGCCAATACTATTATTCTCGTTCCTCAGATAAGAGAACTGAGGCTCAAAGAGATACTAACTTTTCACCCAGACAGAAAGGTAACAACTGGGATTCAAGTTCAAAGCTGTGTGATTCAGAGGCAACTGGGCTGTGTTAGCTTCTATACTCACTTGGAGCTTCTTCTCTTTCACTAATTTGTTATCTTGTGGTGAATAGGGCAGAAATCAAATGCAAATGTATTGAAAAGCAAATGAAGAGATGCTCAAAGAGAAACGCAAATTAAAAGCAACGATGTGTGTACGGTGATGAAAACTTTTGGAAATACAGTAGTCACCCCTCATCTGTGGGGGACATAGTCCAAGATCCCTAGTGGATGCCTGAAACTGATGATAGTACCAAATCTTATACATACTATGTTTTTTCCTATATGTACATGTACATACCTATGATAAATTGCGATTTAGAAACTAAGCACAGTAAGAGACTAACAACAATAACAAATAATAAAATAGGATAATTATAACAATATACAGTAATAAAGTCATATGAATGTGATCACTCTCTCTCAAAATATCGTACGGTACTGTACTCTTCTTGTGATGGTCCAAGATAGTGCGGTGTCTGTGCAGAGTGAGGTGAAAGACAGAGGCACTGTGACATAGCGTTAGGCTACTGTTGACCCTTTGGTGATTCATCGGAAAGATCATCTGTTTCCAGACCAGGTTGACTGTGGGTAAGAGGGACCGCAGATAAGGGAGACTACTGTAGATATTGATGGTTGTACATTTTGAATGTAGTTAATGCTAATGCGTAATGAACCTAAAATGGTTAGACTAGCAAAGGTTTTGTAATATGTGTTTCATAATAAAAAGAAAGAGAAATTCCCTTTATTTGTTTTTTAAGATTTATTTATTTATTTGAGAGAGAGCACAGAGTGTAGGGGCAGAGGGAGAGGGAGCGAGAAACCCAAGCAAGCTCTGCACTGAGGACACAACCTCACACAGGGCTCCATCTCATGACCCTGAGATCATGACCTGAGCCAAAACCAAGAGTCAGATGCTTAACCGAGTGCCCCAAGAAATTCCCTTTTTAAAAAAGTAATGAAGGGACACCTGGGTGGCTCAGTCAGTTAAGCGTCTGCCTTCATTTCAGGCCATGATCCCGGAGTCCTAGGATTGAGTTCCACGCCGGGCTCCCTGCTCAGTGGAGAGCCTGCTTCTCCTTCTCTCGCTGCTGCTCCCCCTGCTTGTGCTCTCTCTCTCTCTCTGTCAAATGAATAAATAAAATCTCAAAAAAAAAAAATTTAAAGTAATGAAATATCACCTTATTTTCATCAGATTGACAAAAATGAGAAAGCCGGAAAACGCCCATGGCAGACGTGTGGTGGTCCTGAGGGGCTCCTGGAGGTGTGGGCAAATGTGACCATTCTAGAGAGCCATCTAAAGTACTTAGTCATAGTTCATGTGTGCCCATGGACCCGGGAATGCTCTTTGTAGTCCTCAGGGAGCTCCTTGCACAGGGCCATGAGAAATCCATCCCTGGAGAACTAAGGAGTTAAGTATGGGAAATGCACAGTATGAAATAGGCAATAGGGCTGCCTGGGTGGCTCACTTGGTTAAGCATCTGCCTTCGGCTCAGGTCACGATCCCAGGGTCCTGGGATCTGCTCAGCAGAGAGTCTGCTTCTGCCCCTCCCTCTGCCTGCCGCTCCCCCTGCTTGTGCTCGCTCTCTGTCAAATAAATAAATAAATTCTTTAAAAAGAACAAAGAAATATTATGCAACACCTAGAAGCAAAGGACTACATGTGGGGCTTGAGCATCAGTTCCCCAGGCCAGACCACCTAAGTCTGACTGTTGGTTTCAGCACCTGACATTTGACAAGTAACCTAACCTCTCTGTTTCTTAGTTTCTTCGTCTGTAAAATGGGAGTTACGCAGAGTTAACATATCACAGAGTTACGACAATTAAGGGAATTAATATTTGTAAAGTTCTTGGAATCCTACCTCACGTGAGGCAAATACGATGTTAGTGTTTTTTAAATAAGTACAATGTACATCAACACTACTGTATTCATTTTGTGTTGCTGGGTAACAAAGGACCACCAAGTTAGCGTCTTAAGACAACACCCGTTTACCGGCTCACAGTTCTGTGGGTCGGAAGTCCCGGCGTGGCATGACTGGGTTCTCCGCTCAGGGTCTCACCAGGCTAAAATCAAAATGTCGGCTGGACTGGGCTCTTATCTAGACGCTCGGAGAGAGAATCTGCCTTAAGCTGGTTCAGGTTGTTGGCAGAATTCAGCCCTTTGTAGTAGTGGATTGAGGGCCTCGGTTTCTTGTTGGCTGTCAGCCAGGGGTGCTCTGAACCCTAGAGGCCACCCCACTCCTCCGCACACAGCCCCTTCCATCTTTAAGCCAGCCATGGCATGTTGGATCCTTTTCATGGTTGGCTTCTCTCTGACTTTCTCTTCTGCAATAAACCAGAGAAAACTGCTTTTACCGGGACTCTGTGATGAGTTTAGGCCCACTGGGTAATCTTCTTATCTTAATGTCAACTGATAGGTAACTATAATTACATCTGCAATGTTGCTTTGCCACGGAACATAACATAATCATGCCCCAGGGGCAAAGATCATGGGCCATCTTAGAACTCTGCCTACCATAGCTATTGATTTTAAAAACATTACTTTGAGGGAAAGTAAGAAGCAGAATGAGAAACATAATACAATACTGGAATGGTTAATTTTACGTGTCAATTTTATGTTTCTAACTTGCTGACTGCAGATCCTGGATTTCTCAGCCTCCATGTTGTCCAATTCTTCTTTTTTTTTTTTTTTTAAGATTTTATTTATTTATTTGACAGAGAGAGACACAGCGAGAGAGGGAATACAAGCAGGGGGAGTGGGAGAGGGAGAAGCAGGCTTCCCGCCGAGCAGGGAGCCCGATGTAGGGCTCGATCCCAGGACCCTGGGATCATGACCTGAGCCGAAGGCAGACGCTTAACGACTGAGCCACCCAGGCGCCCCCATGTTGTCCAATTCTTTATAGTAAATCTCTCTCTCTCTCCCCTCTTGGTTCTTTTGTCTCTGGAAAACCCAGACTATTACAAATGCAATTATGAAAATTAAAATGATGCACATAAAACAACAATATACATTTTGCAGGAACACTTATCAGTGAATGTGTACTCAGCAGACCCATGGTACTTCCGAGCCTCGTACTTGCTATTGCTGATGGCTTCGCTCGGGTATCTGCATGGATCACCACTTTGCTCACATGTCAAATCCTGAGTGAGGCCCTGCTTGGACACCCTGTTTATTTTATTTTATTTTATTTTTAAGATTTTATTTATTTATTTGACAGAGAGACACA